GTGTGTGTGTGTGTGTGTGTGTGTGTGTGTGTGTGTGTGTGTGTGTGGTGGAGTTGCAGGGCTGGCCTGTGCATTGGAGGATATGCCACAGCATCTCTGGACTTGACCCACTAGACGCCAGGAGCACCCCGCACCCCTCCAAGTCGCGACAACCAAAAATGTCCCAGAAATTGTCAAATGTGCCCTAGGGAGCAAAAATTGCTCCCAGTTGAGAACCACTGGATCACACCCATCCCAAAATAAGACACGTGCGAAGGTTGTTCTTTCTTGGGTTGTAAAGTGCTGCCCTGAGGCCAGTTGGTTTTCCTGCTTTTGTGTGGACTCAGCTTTGCAGCACGTCTACCTGTGCTCCCTGGTACACATCTCAGAAGCCTGCTGTATAGCAAGGCTCCTTTGGGTGGCTGTGTCACCCATCCTTCCTCTCCACCATCATACACTTAACCCAAGAAGAGGAAATGGTTTGCGATCTGTTCAGGAGTCCCAGGGAATTACGGCTTGGAAGCTACAGTTTGGGCAGCCTGTGAGCTGCATCTTAAAGGAGGAGCAGTTTGCTGTCAAGAACTGGGGTGGGAGCATGTGAGCCACGAACTGCCTAAGGAAAATAGAGGAAGAGCAGGAGGTGGACTTCTTACCACAGAGGCCCAGTCAAGGAGGATTGTATTGTGAGTTCGCTTCCATGTCTTCCCTGCTCCTCCACCACCCTAAACATTCCTCTCCCAGCCATTTTCCACACTGTTCCTCAGTGTTTCACACACTTTTTTCTTCTAATCCCTGAAGAAGTCTTGATTCCAAGAATATTGTCATTTATTCAAGCATGCTTTTCATACTCCATACATTCATTCAGTTATTCATTCAACAAACGTTTGTTAGCATTCACTGTGTGCCAGACGCTATGCATGTAACTGGACCATGTGCCAGGCAAGACTAGGCCCTACCCTCAAGGAGCTCAAAGTCAAAAACTCTTTATCCCTGTTTTCCAAGCCCAGCACAAAACAGTGTTCATTACGTATTTGCTGAATTACTTAATTTTGCCAACATCTATTGTAAATTTTGTGTATGTATAACCTATATTCAGAGGACAGATAAGGAGAGAATTCTCAGTTTGTGTATGATGAATGTGTCTCCATCCCTCCCTGCCCTCAGGGAGTTTCTGATCTAGCAGAGGAGACAGACACACAGATCAAAACCCCAGGGTATAAAGAAAGACGTCGGTAGGGAGGGGGCCAGGAGAGGAGACCAGGAAACCTCTAGGGCTCCTGGTTTCACACGGGAACTTCATGGCCCTGAGGTATGGTGGGACCACATTAGATTCCATCCCAGAAGCTTGATCTTCTAGGTCCATGTACTGAGCACAAGAAGCAAAGACAAAAACACGTAGCAGGTGATGCCCCCACCAAGGACGTCAAGTGTGAGCATGGGGTCAGGCCAGGCTCTGCCGCACTGGCCGAATGACACTATCAGGAGGTCAGGCTTTAGGACTCACAGAGACACCCAGTACCATCTGTGTAGGAAGCAGCTGATTTCCAGAGGACTTTGCAAATTAATTAGAATTAGCTATCAGGCCGAGACTAATGGCCATAGGCAAATAACAACAATGCCAGCCATGCATGGATTGAGAATCACTCAGTTAAGTACTAGGCTGTGGTCATCACCTTTATTAAAGTGAAATGTTCCCCTATGTAAAAACTGGCTTTACACGCTTAATGTTGTCAGGAGCCAGTTGTTATATTTCTCCAACTGGGGGTTGATGGGTTTCCCAAGGGAAACAATAAAAAGCCACTTCTCCAGCTTCAGGTCTCAGAGGAGTTCCAGGTTCTAGGAGGTGAAGAGCTCCTAAGGCAATTCAGCATCATGCGGCAGACGTGATGTTGAAGCCCCATGCTGGGTCAGAGTCACAGCTTGATACAGTGTGAGCAGATTTCCATTCCTACTTCATAGCTTGATTTGTTTTCCTCTTTCAACATAAATATTCAAAAGTTTGGAAGAAGGAAAAGGCAGTCTTGGGAACTAGAAAGCTTTCTATCAATGGAGAAAACCAAGTGTAAACTAGAGAAGTTCAATACCACTGATTGAATGCAAGGCATGACACTTGGTGCTATAAAACTGTTGATGGGATTCCCATATCAAACTATATGACCTTCAAGATCGCGTACAAGATAGAAGTTCTCGAGAGTAAAATTTTGCCCCCTCTGTGGCTGGATGAGTGCTGACACACTCATACAATAATTTATTTAATAACAGTTTTTTGAACCCCTTCTATGTGTTAGACATTGCTCTGGGTACGGAGTTAGAGAAATAAATGAGTAAAGTCATAGAAGGGAACTGAGGGCATGGGAACAGTAAGAGGAACTCTCCCCTTAGAATGGTGACATTTGAAATGAGTCCAGAGTGACTCTGATATGAAAATCAAGAGGAAAAAACACCAGGCAAAGGACATAACAGATACAAAGGTTTGGGGCTGGAAATTCTTGTGTTCAAGGAGCAGACAGAAAGGAAAGGGAATGAATTTTGGGGAAATGCAACTTGGCTCTTGCTTATATTACGTATTTAGTCTTTCAACTCATTCTATGTATCTAGACATCACCTGAAGAAACTGGTGCTGATAGGGCTTAACTTAGTTGCCTCCAGTCACCCAGCTGATGAGTGACACCACTGGGCCTAGGCTCATGAGCTCTAGAAGTAGGAAATTTGCTGTCACTATTTCACTAGCCTCCCATTGGGTCTTCCCACATCCCACCTCTCCCCGCCAATGCTCCCTTCCCATCCTCTTTCAGCTCTGTGTCTCCAAATAAGACTCAGGCCCTGCAGTCATCCTCCTCAAGCAGCTGCCCCAAACTCAGAACCATCTTCATCCTTTTCCCACAGGATCCACTTCACCCCTTTCCTGGCATTCAAAGCTCATCAATCTGTTCTCCACCCTCCTTATCAGCCCCATGGCAATGTCAGCACTTAAGGCCTCCATGCCCCACTCACCATAGGAACTCCCCTACCACTGTGCACTGTAGACAAGCCCCTCACCTCTTCCTCATGCGCTTCACCACTGCCCTTCCTCTCCTGTGTGGATGCCTTTCCCCCTGCAAGGGCATGGGGCAGGTCCCTTCAGACCCAACCCAGAGCTAACCTTGTCCATGCATCTTCCCAGATGCCTCTCAGCCAACAATGATTGCCCCCTCTCAGAAGGCCCCTTGGTGTTTTATCTGTATCATAGGAGTACGACACATTGCATATTGGAGTAATGAGCAAGAGAGGATTTGAGGTACTTAGGAGTTGTGTGATCTTGTGGGGCTTTCTGATTCTTTCTCTCAGCCTATTGATGTTTCTGATACTACTTTATCATGAGAATCCATACATAATAATGTGTACAGCCCACCTGGTCCAGTGCAAGGCACATAGGAGGGGACCACCAGATAGAGGTGCTTTTCTTTCCTTTCAAATTGGAGCCTGAGCTTGGGAAGGCAGGAGTATGTCTAACCATGACCATGTAGCCTAGCACAGAGGTTATCCCCAAAGATGTGATCCATAACTATCCCTCAATAAAAGAATAAATGAAGGTTATGCCTTTTGAATTAAAGTACATACACTGTAAATGGTGAGTTTTCACCTCTGGGGAAGACAATAAGCTAACTATGAAAACCATCTGTGGGGAGAGCAGACCCTATTGTTTCTCTGGAGATAAAAGTTTATGTTTCTGGAACATCTCCAAAGTTGGATCAGTGGTCCATCTAGATGAGCTGATTTCTCCAGCTGGAGTGGAGCCTAAATGTATATGTCATCAGAATCTTCGGGAGGTCTTTTGGCACTAACAATATTCTCAGGAAGAAGAAGAAGAAAAAAAAAAAAGTAGCCGCTTTTTGTCCACCACAGCTGTCTGCTGCAAAGAGCTGCAGGGATATGTTGATTCGTTCAAGCTGTTCTCTTCTGTTATTGCTCAACCTAGACCCACATCAGGGGAGACCTTACTGTTCTTAGCCATG